CTCGTAATGATCTAACATCTCGTAAAAATTTATTTGATAAATAATTTTAATTATTTTTATTTTATTTTTTTATTAGATTATCCATTAATATTTCCTGAAGATGCTGATATTCGTATACCACCAGAACCCGCAAAAAATTGTTCAGCTAAATTAGAGGTAATCAATTTTTTTTATATTAAATGATTTTATTTATTCAATTATATATCAATAGAAAAAATTTGAAGAATATTATAAACGATTTAAAAAAACCGGTGTTGATCAAAATGTAGCTATACAAGAATTAAAAGATTTTCGAAATCCATGGTGAATATAAAAATTTTTATTTTTTGATTAAAATAATATTTAAAAACGTTTTTTTTAGTATGTATGAAAAAATAATTTCTCATTTGGAGATTGATGAAATTGGAACAAATTTTCCACAAGTATGTTTTTAAAATTTGATATTTTTTGTAATTTATTTTATTTTGTATATGTATAGGAACTATATGATCCACATTGGTGGGGTAAAGAATCATATTATGAAGAATTAGGTATGCATGTTGTTATTTATTTTAAGATAAATTTAATTGATAAGAAGGTTTTTTTAGGTAAAGCACAAAAAATTGAAATGGATCGTAGAGAAAAAGAACGACGAGAACGTCCAAAAGTAAATTAATATATTTCCAAATGTTATCATTAATATTATTTATTTATTTTTTATAGATTGGATTTACTCCAGGTGTTAAAAAAGTTGATCAACTTGGTGTTGGTTCATCGAATAATTCTGATATAAGTGGTGAAAAACGTAAAACTCGTTTTGATCAATGATCATATATATACATAACGCTTACTTGTTGTTTCTACTGTTATTATGATTAATAGAAATCTAAAATATATTTTTTATCTGTTTCTTTAATTTCGATATGAGAGTATATGACTATATTAAGTCGATTCAAGTTATTTTCTTATTCTCATATATTGCTCAAACTCTGCATATAATTATTCAGTTTTCTATTGGATAATACATTATTTATTAAAGAATATCAAGAAGATTTAATATAACTGAAATAAACTTATCTTCATTCGAAATTAGCTCTGAATGTAATATCACTATCTATATACTGAACATTAATGAATCAATTCTGTGTTATACTAATTGTTCACTTGTGTCTAGCTATATTCATCAAATAATAAAACATATTAAAAGAATTAATAGATATTATTTATTTATTTCATTTTTCAGATAGTTTCGTATTATATAGATAATTTATCATGAAAAGTATTTTGATTACGGGTGCTAATCGTGGTATCGGTTTAGGTATTGTCAAACAACTTGTTTCAAATCCATCATCTATTGAATTCATTTTTGCTGGTTACCGTGATGTTAATAAATCTAAAGTGAATTTTTGAAGAAAAAAAGGCAAGTTAATATATTTTATATATGATAGGAATTGTTAGATTTAGCAAAAGAACATTCAAATGTTATCATTCCGATTCAAATTGGTTTGTCTAATTTTTATTTTTAATTCGATTGATATAAATTAAATTTATTTTTTAAATTACTTAAGATGTTAGTGATGATGAAAGTTGTAATAAAGCAAAAATTGAAGTTGAAAATAAATTAGGTAATAGTCGAGGTCTCAATTGTTTATTAAATAATGCTGGCGTAAATAAAGAACTAAAATTTAATGATATCAATGAAAAAGATATGCTTGATACATACAAACACAATGTTATTGGACCATGGCGAGTAACAAAGGTGTGTTTGTATTGTTTGCTTATTTATATACAGTCATATATATGTCAAAATAATTTTTTTTTCATCTTTAGACATTTTTACCGCTTGTGGAAAAAGCAGTTAGTGGAGAACGAAATGTTCTTCAAGCAAGTATTATCAATGTATCAAGTGGTATGGGTTCAGTTACATTAGCTCCTACGATGCCTTTTTTTTATTTTGATTATCAATGTTCGAAGGCAGCACTAGATATGTTTACTGTCTGTTTTGCAGAAACTTTAGCTAAATCAAATATTTATATTACTTTACTTCATCCTGGATGGGTTCAAACTGAAATGGGTGGTGCACAAGCTCCATTAACAATCGAAGAAGCATGTAAAAGTATTGTTGAATGTATAAATTCAATGAAGAATGAACATTATGGAAAATTAATTGACGCTACCTCAGGAAGTTCATGTGCTATAATTCCGTTTTAATTAACTGACATTATATATAACACTTTTTTATATTGAAGTTCATTTTATATACTACTACATAAAGATGAATTATAAAGCTTATTTTTTATTCTAAATAAAGATCCATTTTTATTTTTTTGAAACATTAATTAGATGAAAAGTGTTCTAATTACTGGAGCTAATCGTGGTATTGGCTATGGACTAGTTAAACAATTTTTAAAATCTAAAACTGATCATGTCTTTGCTACTTATCGTGAAATGGATCGATCGAAAGTAGCTTTTTAAAATTATGAAATAAAAAAATATGTATGTATAAAATTTTCTTTATTTAGGAATTATTTGATTTAGCTAAAGAACATTCAGCAATAATTGTTCCACTTCAACTTGGTTAGTTAATTCTATGTAGATAATAGAAAAATAAAAATTTTTCTTTTCTTTAATTGAATAGATATTACAGATGATGCTAGTATTAAAAAAGCAGTTGAACAAGTAGAACAAAGATTGAATGGAAATGATCTAAATTGTTTAATTAATAATGCAGGTACGACAACAAAATTAAGATTTTCAAATATTAATGAAAAAGATATGATGGAAACATATCGACAAAATGTTATTGGACCATGGAAAGTTACTAAAGTATATTTCACTTTCGTTATTTTCTCCTTCAATATATTTTTCTTTTAGGCATTTTTACCTCTTCTTGAAAAAGCTGCATTACATTTAAAGCAACGTGATATAAAACAATCATCTGTAATTAATATTTCCTCGATCATGTCATCACTTGAATTAGCAAAAAATCTTCCATATTATTATTATGATTATCAATGTAGTAAAGTTAGTTTAGGATTTTTTTAATTTTATTATTTCTATTTTCATCTATTTTTTTATAGGTTGCATTAAATATGTTAACAATATGTATGGGTAAAGATCTTGAAAAAAAGAAAATCTTTTTTTCACTTCTTCACCCTGGCTGGGTAAAAACAAATATGGGTACAGATAAAGCTCCATTGACACCAGATGCTGCAGCAAAGAATATTATCGAATGTCTACAAGCAATAACGAATGATCATCATTGTAAATTAATTGATACACGTGATGGAAAAAAAGTGACTGTTCTACCTTTTTAAATAAATATTCTGTAATTGTATACCTTTCTTCAAAATTAAAATTTATTTAAAATAAAAAAAAAAGACAAACGATTAGAGTAGAGTATAACGGTAGGATTTTCTATTGGAAATTATATTTGCATGTCGCATTGATTTGATTACTATAATTAATGTCATAAATGTCAATGAGATACTGAAAATGAATAAAATAATTAAAATAATAGGACGAATTCTTATACTAGTCTCATCTATCCATGAAGTCCATTTAGTTCGTGTAGAATTAATTATTGAAGACCATGGAATGTAACCAGATGATGAATGAATTGTATCCATAATTGTTGTTTTATTTTCAATTTGATCATCATGAATCATATTAGCTAAGAATGAAAAAGTATCACATTTTCCAGAATAACAGAAACGACCAACACAAATAGTTGTAGAAGATCGTACAGTAATTTGACATGTATTCAAAACAACTAAAAATATAAAAACAAATGAAATGAAATTATCAAAATGATTTTAAGATTTCTTTATACTTGTCTTATTTAAATTATTTGATATACAACAACTGATGTTACATGGATGTATTAGGTTATTAAATATTTTGTCATTATTGATAATAGTATTGTTGAATATTGTATTATTAGTATCACATTGATAGAGATCAACATTAATCGGTGAATTATTTTGATTAATATATTTGTTATCAATAGCAGAAATAAAGTTATGATGAGAGAACAAAAAGACTAAAAACAGATGAAATTGCATATCTTTTTCCTATATGTATGATGTCAATCGAAAAGAAAGAATGAAATAGAAAAGAAAATATGCCTTTTTTTCCTTTTTCTTCTTCTCATGAGAGTAATGAAACGACAAATACATTTAAAAACAGACAAATAGAACCACAGCTGGTTTGACGATTCGTTGAGTCAGACGAAATAGCAATGATACATACTATAACCTTCATCTACTTTAAAGATACATGTATGAAAGATTGATTTTTTTTTAATTAATAATAATATTTTATTTAAAGTTACATCGTTTAATCTATAAACTATTTCACATGGTAACAAACTTATATATCACAATGGTCACGCCAACAGAATTAATGAACAGGTTTTTTATCTGCTTTTTAATAATAACTTAGCGTTAATATTAATAAAATGAAAATTAATTTTATAGGAGATACAATAAAACACAGATGTTTTCTAAGTATGAGTAGAATTGTGTTCAAAAAGTTACTGAGTTCTACATATGCATGTATTAAAATGTTTTTTTCAGTTGATCTTAGTAATCTCAAACATCGATGACAAAGAATTAATAGTACCAAAGTTATTTGATCAGTATAAATGAGAACTGATAAATCTATATCATCCTTCATATACACCAAGAAAAACTTACATAGTTACTTTTCACTAAAACTTTTTTTTCTTATTTAATAAAATCAAATCAAAAAAATTTAGAAGAAATTATATGCTACTTTACTTAGCTCTGACGACTTTATATTTAATACTCTGTCAAAAATACAATGCATTAATCGATGATATTAATCTTCTCTGTAAATTTTTTGTTCTGTCTAATTGATATGACAATTTTTCTGTTATCTTTGCAAGAGGTGTCATGATGTCGAAGCAATGATAAGTCATATAAAATTACAAGCACATTTTTTATTGTGTATAAATTCTATTTTGTTGTTAAATAAGCACCTTAAGAATACTTACTACAATGAAGGTAATCATTGTTATCTGTCTTTTTTTTGTTGGTACTTATTGTGTATCGATACTTGATAAACATCTTGATAATCAATGGAATATATTTAAACGCACGTATACAAAACAGTATATTTCAATAGAAGAAGAAATAATTCGGTAAGTCAAAAGATCTTTTGTATTACACTAGTTTTTTCTACGTTTATATAGTCGAACTATTTGGGAAGTTAATTTAGCTAAAATTCATCAACATAATCATGAAACTGATTCGGGTATACACAGTTATACATTAGGAATGAATCAATTTGGTGATATGGTATATTTTGTTTTTGCATTATATTGATAATTTCTTTTATATCTTATTAGACTCATGAAGAATTTAAAAAGCAAATGAATAAATTCAAGATATCTGTCGAAATGAAAAGGTCCAGTTTTGATCATCATTCGTTTGTTGTTCCATCAAATACTACTGTTCCACGAGCTGTTGGTAATGTTTGTATTTTCTTAGATCGATATTCAACAAATAATTTCTTTTCAGATTGGCGGAACGAAGGTGCTGTTACATCAGTTAAAGATCAAGGTAAATGTGGTTCAAGTTGGGCTTTTTCAGCTACTGGTTCACTCGAAGGTCAACATTTTCATCGAACTAGACAGCTTATCTCACTCTCTGAACAAAACTTAGTTGACTGTTCAGATAGTTTTGGTAACGCTGGTTGTAATGGTGGATTTATAAATTCAGCTTTTCAATATATCAAAATCAATGCTGGTATCGATACTGAAGAAAGTTATCCATATGAAGCCCGTAATAATACATGTCGATTTAATCGTACAAATATTGGTGCTAATTCTACTGTAAAGATTAAATTTATATGAAGAGTATTCAATTTTAATTCTAATATTATAGGGTTTCCGTAATATCAAACCGAATGATGAAGCCGCTCTCTCATATGCTGTTGCTATCATTGGTCCTATATCAGTCTTTATTGATGCTTCACATTCGTCATTTCAATTCTATCGATCAGGTGTTTATGATGAACCACAATGTTCATCAACTGTAGTCGATCATTGTGCCTTAATTGTTGGTTTTAATGCAACAGATAGTCAACTTTATTATATTGTTAAAAATTCCTGGGGTACTTCATGGGGTCAAAATGGTTATATTTGGATGAGTCGTAATAAGAATAATCAATGCGGTATTGCAGCCATGGCTAGTTACCCACTTGTTTAATAAACTACATTTTTATTATTTTTGACACCTGCATGATCATAATAAACTTTTCTAGATTTATACAAGTTATATTTCTTTTTACTGTGCTAAAGTGGTATAAAAAAGGCAAATCTCAACAGTACAGTGTAGATATGTAAAGAATATCAAGAATAAATATCATACGCACATCAATACTTAGATCCTCGAGGTGCACAAGTAGACGAGAGTGGGTGTGGATAACGGTGTAAGTTATGAGAAGATTTATACCCACACCCTCCAGTCATTGTAGTAGGATGAGTATTTGTTAAAAAAGATCGATTTCTTTGCTACCTATATAATCGATTTTTTCGTTCAATCAGATGAAAAATTAAATTTGCTACAAAAATATACGCTTTTTGAAGAGAAGACAATAAATTCTGTTGAGGAATAGGGATCCAAAGCAGGATGTGGGTAGTTAAATAAGAGACGAATCCATACCCACACCCACCCACCCTCAAGATTTAGTTGAACTGATCTTAGATATATTTTATTTTATTTCAAATAATCTAACTGATATTATATTATATTTTATTTTTTATTTATTTATTATAGTTATATTTAAATCTATACAATGAAGGTAAAGTTAAATAATTACAAAATAAATATCATTGAGGGTG